TAGTCTAAACAAAATCCTCAAAAAGGCAGCTTATCTTCTTAAGACTCTGTATTTTTTAAAATTACTTTTATTGTTTATATACACATGAAATAAAAAATAAAACCATATGAATGAAACAAGCCTGAGAGCAGTTAGAAGATATTATAATAGATATTAAATAGAACCCAACTGTCTTGTCAAATTAATCAGACTCCACTCACTTTTGGGTGTGGCCGAATTTTATTATCACAGTACGTTGACCTTAGATAATTAGGTTTATTCTAAGCGTTTCCTTTATAGACGATAAAAACGATATTTTCATTACCTATACTGTTACGCTGCGCCTATTTTTTGGCTGGAAGCCCGAATTACCTCAAACCGTATTACGAAAAGATTTCAGGAATCCACAAATATATAATTCAATTTATCAGGCTACTTCTTTTATCATACGTCTAAGAAAAGCAATAATAACGATTTGTTTAATAGATCCGACATCGCAAGTGGAGACTCAGAACACATCCAGGAGGATCTTAAACCCAAGACATCACAAACAAAGAACTGTCCGGGAAAAACAATCCTAGCTAAGTAGTACCTAAATCCCAAACAATAAGATTGACGTGGGCTGGGCCGTACCTAGCCTAAGATAGAATGCGTTGACGGATCACTGTAGACGCCCTCTGCCCCACCCAAGTGTTTTATTTATTTGGGAAACAAAACACATACATCTCTATGCAATAAAGTTAAAACATAAAATAAACACATTGGATGTATCCACAAAAAGTTTCACTGATAAAAAATATGATAGAAAGCTAAGCAAAACAAAATAATGACAAAATTTATAAATCCGGAGAACGACAAACATACTAGTAGCTATAATAAAGAAGAAAGATACAAGGATTAGGATTATGCTATAATGTGTCTACCATATCATATAAACCAATCGTAAATGCATATGACTAGGAAAGACGAAAAAACATAAGGTATTAAAAAAAAATCTATTAGCTAGTTTTATTTCACAGGTAAATAAACTTGTGGGAATTTAATGTCTATTTCAAAAAACATTTTATACAGGCTGCATGCTCAGTGCTCACGTCTTTTTTTATATAAATATGTACCAGCAACGAAATTCGAACATTGGCGTAGAAAACTACTTGGTTTAACTAAACGAATTCGATACACGCCTACCTGGGCATCAGGCGTGTCAAATGTAACCACGCAGGTTGTAATTAATATTCAAGTCATATAAAATCCTATAAGCTGGGCCAATCGTTACTTAGCATCGTTACATAAGTGGTTCAAGGCTGGTCAATGGCTTTACTCGTCAGACGCGGGCCAGACGCACAAAAAAGTGAAACCCATTTTTTCTTGAGAAATCGCGCTCCGCATCGAATAGGGGGCCGATTTTATTCGCCAACTTGTTTTATTGACTATTACGACGGCCTTTTCGACATTTAAATGCACAGGAAGTTGTTTCCGTTGGTATTCGTAACGTACAAAAGGTATGTACAAGGATTATCAATCTTAATATGTATGTTTGAATCACACGCCGTCGCAGTCTGTCAAAAACTAAATATTGTCAGGGCCTTAATGAATTGGATTAGATCTGATTGGTATTTTTAAATATACTGTATACATATATTCGTAAATTTCCGGCCGATGAATATGTATTTAGCCCTGACTTAATTCACTTTAAATAACTATAATTGGTCTAGTCACCCGTAACATCAAAATACATAAATTTAGCATCAAACGGCTACTATCAAAGGATCCGCTTTTAAACACAATTAAGGGAATTAAAATTAAACCATGCAAGTAATTTAAGGGAATATACTTCAATATTTACGCCATACTGTGAAAGATTTAACATTATTATATTATACGCTATGAACCTTAATAAACGTTTCTAAACCATCGTTTGTTCTCTTACATATCTTTTAAACAACCACATGCAATGGTTTATAGAGAAATGTTATGTTCAAAATGCTTTAGAATTATAACGTTTTCTTTTGACACAAATTGCCGTATTGTGAATGCAAAAAAATGGCGACAAGATTTAGCTATGTACGATGTATTATCGACTAAGTACGATGAGTATCACAACACTACGGCAATGAGCGTAGCGTTCTTTAAAACTGGGTGGGCTGCGCTACTTTAAACCAAGAATGAGTATAAAAATGTATCGTAAATGTTACAAACAATAAATAAGAAAAAAATGTTTTTATAATTTGAACGTATGGGATATTATTATTCAATACATCACTTGCGAGTAAGTATTAATTGAATAGAAGTGACAAATATTTCATAAGTAATTTTTCTATATGTTCATTTTATAATATTAAATAAATTAAATTACATAACCGTAATTGAAAATAATATTTTTCATTCAAATCCATTAAAATTCTTCATTCAATCAATTGAGGCCTTATTCTAATTGTACCACCAATTATTTAATTAAATAAGAATACAATGTTTAATTATTTATTTGGTACCTTTGTATTTCTGAAAAACTAATTTCCAAAAATTAATCCAACTTGAAATACCTGAATACGAAAGAATGCGACGAACTTGGAAAATGTCTATATACGTTTTAGTTTCCGACAAATTTGTGCACGCTAGATGTATGAATAGTCATCAAAGTCAAATATGTACACTACAGTAGTATCCGGAAAAAATACAAGACATAAATCAAACTAAAAAGCTTCTTGTTTGAAGTTGGTGAGCTTAATTTAGAATATAAATCATAATGAAACCGTAACAAAAATAAAGCTCATTTAAACTCTTGAGCAGAATACTGTTATTTTATCTTATATTGTCTTGAATCAATCAGATTAGAACAAAAAACAATAACGAAATCATGTCGAACATCACCGTTTACAAGTGATGGTAGATCTCAAGGTAAAAAAACGCCATGACGCAAGCTTGTAATAGACGAAATAAATTGGCAATATGCGAAATCTTTTCACAATGTCTTGCTCAATAGACAATCTGTTACGGAATTACTAATAGGAGAATTATTATAAAATTAGTAAAGAGATGAAATATTTCACAAATACCTATTAGGTTGCGAGATAAATTAAACGGAATATTTTGATGATTGGCCATGATTAAAATCCATTAAGTTGTAGCAATAAATACTAGCTAATTATTTTGCATTTAGAAAATGAAAGTTTACTTTTAAGTCTAATTCCTATTAACTTTTTTCCGAACGTCTTACATAAAGTAACTAAAACCCTGATACTGTGAACTAAAAAACTAAACAACCTAACTGCAGCCAAAATATGTGTACTAAGGTAGTGTTTCCCAACCTTTTTTGTGCCATGCCCCCCCTGCCTTTTTAGAATTCTTATGACCCCCCCCATATGTAACATACATAACTTTTAATATAAAAAAATTGAATTGTTCACTTAAGAAAGAGGATTTGAGGAAGAAATGACTTAATGTTAACGAAACACTTTAAGTAAATTTTCAAAACATAAAGAAAAACTGAAATTCAAATTACAAATAATTATGGAATAGGTCCCCTTAGCAATCAAATTGCCTCTTTGTAGGGCATAGGTCCCTCATTAGGAAACACTGTACCAAGGTCAGTAAATAGAAACTACTTTTAATTATTTAGGCATAATTCGTTAAGTAGTTAAATAAATTTGCCACACATAAAAAGATTACACACTGTCTTATGTTTACTTTATTATGTTATTACCTATTTAGCCATTTCAGTAGGCCATTGAAAAGAATCAGATGGAACCGGGGATACAGGAGCTTATCATACAAGATTGTCTGCCAAACAACGATCTCGGAACTCGACACAAATACCAGTCAAGGTCAAAGTAATACATATAATTGAATGACTATTCTAATAGTTCTAGGCTTGGTTAAAAGATACTATTAAGACCAAGACTAGACACTAGCATTGTCTTATCAAACTGTAATAATTTACATACCACATGAAAAATTTACTGATTATTCTATAATCAAGATGGTAACCTCTTTTACAGTTGAACTTTTCCCAGTATATTTATATATATTAAAACTATGTATAAAAGCAAGTATATTACAAATAACCTTATATAATACAAGTATTTGTAATATAACACAAATACCTAATAATTAATATATTGCCTGTGTTTAGACAATTTTAATCCATCTTTATATACATTGCCCATCACTATTTTTATAAATATGTATTATCATAAATAAATGTCTTAAACATTTTAACAATATTAACTATTACATTATCTAAGATTAAATAATAAGAGATGGTAACCAAATAGGTTAAAAAGACCTAAAATGTCACCTAAATTTTAGTTAAATTGAAATAATATTATAAATAAAGATTAAGAGTTATGTCATATTTACTGAAGATCAATAAAATCTGATTTTTTACTATAGAACAAAATAGTTACTATAGTTAAAATTCAGACTTTTTATAAAAATATTGATTTACCTTGTATAACAATGGTACTCATGGTTAGACCATTAATTTATCTAACTTTTAAAAATTTACAATTTATATTATAAATTGTAAATATTTTACTAAGAAATGTGTATAAGTTTAGCAAGTCTCAATTAGGCTAAGCAGTATGTTAATTTCAGGAGAAGTAAGGAAATAAACAAAATACAATTAAAAGGTTTAATGCTGATAAAATTTTAAATCTTCACACTTCTCTTGAATACTTACAGTTTTAAGTATCTTTTTCCAACCAAAATGGTCACTGAGGTTTAAGATTTTCTGCATACTCTATCAGCTGGCATGTGAATACAATTCAGCACTAAAAATCAATATTTAACTATATACAACCTACCAAGTTACACAATATAGCTTGGTAACAACTGACACAATCCTTTGTTCACACTTCATTGATCAAATATTTAGCACCACCTAATGAAGAACACTTTCACTTTTTCACAATACACTTCACTCACCACTGAACAAAGAAAATTTAACTATTTCAGGAAAAAACAAAGAAAGGAGCAGTGTCATAATGGAAGATATACTGCACTCACGTTAACACTGACCTGCCATGATGTCAGCTGACTTGAAGAGCGGTGGCTCGGCGCCTCCGCAGACCCGGGAGCCACCCTGGTTGACACCAGTCAACGGCCCGCCCGCCGACAAGAGGTCGCAGACAAAAAAATCGATAGGTCGACAACCTCTCGCCGCGCTTACGAGTCGTCAGCCGGGCGGCCGTCGCTTTGCTGTCGCCCGCCGCTTAACCGATCCCGCACCAGAAACCCCTCGAGGCCTCAACGTTCGACTTATTACAGATACAAATTCGCCATTTTGAAACAGGAACAATGAAATATTTGCTATAGAACCGTACGACAGCTGAAAATATAGCCCGCGGTCCGCGAATTCGACAGCGGTAAATTATACGTATAGACGCTATACCATTGTAAATAAATACGTACTCTGACTAGAAATCCCCTCGTCACCGCTGCCGATATCCGACATCTCAATCCACAACGAATTCTACAGGCAATCCGCCGATCTTTCGGAACTTCTGGGACAACTGAAATTGTCTATGGATGCACGGCCATCAAACTTCACTTTCTTTATGGTTACACTTATTTCCGAAATTTAAACTAAATACCAAGTACTTTCCTCGTAACACACTTTTTTCGTATTTATATCACTGAAAGTATTATTTTTGCCCAGTAAATAAAATTAATTTTTACCCACAAAGACTTTGCTAGCGTAACCAAATACCAAAATGTGAAGAGTACTAATTAGAATGACATTTAAGGAATAGTGTCAGTTGTCATGATGGTCAAAATCATAAACTAACACCAAAGACAGCTAATATAGAGTAGATATTTACGAGTGTAAAATGTACAAATAAAAATAGATTAATATTCATCTTTTTGTACTTTTACTAATTTCTGTTTCAGTATCTACTCCAACACACAACTCTTGACCCTAGATACTTCTTATATGATTCTATTTAGCACAATATATTTGTGTAATAACGATTATCAAAACTTATTAATCTAACTTGTCCACAGACGGCTTCTGATTTGTCATTGTAACTTAGTTGTACAGTAATAGATGACGCTTTCCTTAAATTAGCACGATAGACGTTTTATAAAATGTAAATGTCTCCTTGTAACGTTTTTGGAATTGAAAACCTCTTACCGGCAATTATTCATAGATATCCAATAACCTTAGAATAATAACTAAAGGACCAGCCCTTGCGTGAATCATACACGCGTCATAGTGTAAATACTTATCTATGAGCTAATTCGGCAAGTCGTAACGCCAGAGATATCTTAAATAGTTATGACATGTACATATTATGATAAGAACTTCCTTGTTTTTTTTTTTTATATAGCTGCTAGTTTGTTTGTCGTTCTCCTAATTTATAAATTTTGTGCTGTCATGTTTTACTTTGTATTGTATTCATATTTATCAGTGAAACTTTTTGTGGATATGTCCAATGTGTTTATTTTATGTTTTACTTTTATTTTATTTACTGTGTAGAGATGTATCTGTTTCCTTAATAAATAAACAAATAAATAAGTAGTAAATGAAACAGGACGGGCATATACACAATACCAGAAAATGATTCCTCAGTCGAAATAATTGATCCGTGTGAAAGGAAAACCATCCTGCACTTTCAGATCGCACGGCACATTAGCACGGTGTTTTTGTAAAAATAATCAGTATTAAAATGCCCGAACTATATTTTCGTTAGTGGGTCCACTCTACAAAAAAGCATGCAATCATTTTTCATATTCTCCCTTTCTATGTGCTTTTTATTATACTCATTATATAATCCCTTTGGAAGCAGTATTATTTAATAATATTAAGGGGATCGCAGTTTAATTTGTAAAAATAATGCAAAAGGATAAAGGTGTAGAATAAAACATCACTTTAATATTACAAATGACTATAATTTTGTCACAATTTTCCATACAATGTTAATAACTTTTTACCTTATTCCTATTTTATAATACATTACTTAAATAATATTAATGTAGTATTAATTTATTTAAAATTCTTCCAGTTAAATTTCTAATTACATACGGATCGTTTTCAGATGATAAATAAAACCGATAGGACAATACAAAGTTGAAAAAACGCAATTTGAAATACTCGAGCAATTTTATACACTAAAATGTAATTCGATTAGATTTTAAATATATACTAAAATATTTCTTGCTTAGTACGCTACGAGAAGTATCGATAAAAACTGTACAAACATTATCAATCGTTACAGCTAGCGTAAGTATTATATAAACGGACACTCAACCGGCCTGACGAGAACTTGCGACATAGCTCAACAGTTTATGTACTATAATTAATTAATGATAAAGATAAATTGTACTTTATAACGTGACGCGACGCGCCGAAGCGGGACCGAATCAAAATAATTGACTAAAGTTAACACGTTATTCTCGATAGCTGATATGCCAGCCGTCCACAACGCGTCGCGCCGAAACAAACATACGAGAAATAAGCACCGTTATTTAAAAATGCGAGTCGTTTGAGTACTATGCAGCTTGGAGGCTGGAGACCAGCAACTACAAATTATCAATTCTATCAACTCTTAAAATTCCACGAATTACCGCTATTGTATTATCTAAAACCAGCCAAGAACAAATCGAAACGGCAAACAACAAGCGAATAAATTACAATTATTATGAAAAAATTGAGCTAGATTCGATATTCGCCTTTCGGAACTCTGCACGCGCTGTCGCGGGTAACTTTCATTATATTCACAGACAGTTTTCAACACCGAAAGGGCAACGAAAACTTGTATTTATTGCTCTATACATCTAGTATTATTGCTTACGAGTTCCTGCGTTCGGCAATACTGTGTTGATGAGGCTGACGGGCGACAAGCGAATATTCACAACCAATTGGCGATACGTCGTACGCCCTTGCGCCGGCCTTACATTCGTAGGCTCAGCGAGCCCACGCTCCGCTAAGCCCGCGTATGCAACCCAAGGCTTAACAAGAAAAAGAGTGGCTACACGCGGTGTACAAAGTAATTAAAACGGTTTCTACTCATTTTTACTTCGAAGGTATATTTACTTAGAAAAATCTGATTACACCGCGCGCAACAAGAGCCCAAATTCGGGTGCAGTATGTCTTGTATTATTGATGACCAAATACTCAAACAATAATTAAAGTTAAGCATCTCAAGACGTATGGTTATAAAAATATAGTTTGCTTCCAAAATTTATCCATTCGGATGTTACATTGAAATTATTTTTGATACTCGTACAATTAAGCAAGTATAATCAACCCAAACGTTACTAAAAAAATGCGTCGCTTTATTTAATGTTTAAGTACGGCCCTAAGGGTCAAGTATGGCGACATGAACTGTCCCGAATAAAGACTTCGACAGTGCGTTAGCGTGAGTCGTGCAACTATCAAAATGAGTCAGTCTTATCACCGACAGCGTCAAAACAAAATCTCTAACAAACAAAAACTGTATAACAATTGTACTAGTTATCAATAAGAGTTTTTAAAATTTGATATTGCCACGAAGAGTTGAAATTTTACAAAAATATACATGCTGTACAAATAGTTGAGCGACTCAATGCACTGGTCAACCCTAACAATGTTAGTTGCGCAGGCGTTTTCCGGGTGTCAAGTAGACGTCTGCGCAACGAACCGTAGCACTTAGAGAGATTAGATACATCGTTACGCACACATACGTACTTCCAACGTACCCGCACACAACGTTTTACGTACGTCAATGCGTGCGCGCACGTAACGCTGCGCACTTAAACTAACTCGTTGATAGAGACTTAGAACTAGACTTAGATTACTCCTGACACGGCAAAGTCAGCGAACGATTGTCGCCGAACGGTTCAATACAAGCGGTCATCGATTCACATTGCACACTAATATTCGAGACTGGAACACAATACGATCACAACTTATTCGAGAATAGGCCAAGAAGCTGTATCGGTTACCTAAACGTTAATATCAGTAGCTACTGCATAGGTACATTGCCTGCGTCATATTCCAATAATGGTAGTAATAATTTAAATGGGAAATTGGTAAAATCGCATTTAGCCTTATTCGTAACCGACACGAAACTAGAAAGTTAAGTACTCAAAAAAAATATGTACAAAAAAGAATTACGCATAAACATATAAGAAGTATAAAGCACTCATATTTACATGAGGCGTCTTCATAGCGAAAACGCCCCAACCGACATGACAAAAGTCACAAAACAAAACTTTTGGCAGTTAATATAAATATCACAAATTGATTTTACATTGTCGGAGAATACACTTAAAAAAATAAGTACGGTAAAGTAAGCGCGAGGCGAAACTTAAAATAAATAAAACTCTTAAGCAATTTTAAATACCCTGTTGTTTACATTTTTAAAATAATTTGACCGAAATTTGAATAAATAGATGCGTAACAGTGCGGCGATGCGCCAAACGAGAATTTCACGAAATAAATACCTAATATATATACATGGTGTTCTAATAGGAACAAAGAGGGCTCAACACACCCCATACAATATCACAAGTGAAAATATGCAAAACCTTACGCTACACGCCACTACTCGCTAACCTACTTACGTCTTCTCTTTGTTCTTATCAAAAGTCGTATAGGACTCGAAAGAGGCGGTATTAAAACAAATTACGTTCTTGGCATATCGGTTCACTACCCTTAATAGATTTTTGTATGAAAAAGCTAAAACGTGAATGTTTATGGACTTTAACGAACAAATGTGAAATCGATCTTGATACTTGACAAATCGTAAGAGTTGGAGCAATATTGATAAATAATGTCCACAGATATTAGATGCCCAGACTAAGACTGAGAGTAATTAGCGACAATATTTCTCCCATATGTCAAACTCCAATAGTTTTATGACATATGACAGCTATACTAAGCGCTAAGTCGATTCAGTATCTTTGAATCTACCAAAGACAAATACACTTCGAGAAAGGCGTGACCCGCCATCGCCCGTCAAAATAGTCACGTGACCACGCGTGAGCTGTCAATTATATACTATAGCGGTGTAGTTATATGTCTATAAAACATTTTTATTATTTTTGGTATTATGTCATTTTGGAATCAAAAAATCCAGACATACATATACGAATCGCGCGTTTAGTTAGTCCGTAATTTTTTATTAATGTCATTCGCTTCTAACACCGCCCCGATAGGCATCGCCACACCCGCGACGCATTGAGCACAAACCGACGGCTTGCGACCGTCCACGCGACTTCCATCACTAAAATATATAAATTCTTTCATGTAAACCTAGCTTTAAACGTATATGTCTTTATTACGTATGTTTTCGTTTTTACCTAACTTATTTTTGTGCAAAAAGAAATTTTGTACAAGATTGCTAACACCATACCCCATTCAAACGGTGACACGAAAAAAACGTACTAAAGACAAGGAAATAGTAAACTAGAAATGCGCGGAGATTTAAAGAATAAAAAATGGCAACACTGACGTGTGACTAAATCCCCGCCCACCTTTAGCGTTAACAAAAAACCCACAGCACCCTAAATTATGCATTAACTCGAAAATAAATCTATACGTAAACAGTCGTACAACATATCCTTAGAGTAAAATGGCGCACGAATAATAAAATATAGATTTTTAATGTAAAATTATGCTAGTCACTAGCGATCCGAAGCTATTTTTGTTATTAAAATCCGCAAATCTTAATAGCAAAATGTGGGTAACATTAAAATGCACGATGACACGTTGACACTGACAGTTAACATAAGAATGAGCGGGACAAATAATACACATCTCATTTGTGTGTACTATGCTCACTTATAAACTTCGCTCAACTAAAAGGCTCTCCATTTTAGACCAATAGCTGAGCGAAATTTATAAGTTGATTTAGGATTGCCTTCACGAAAAGATGTAGTCACTTAATAACTGTATAAAATGCTTAAATTTGTAAATACCAACTCCACGTAACTAAAAATAAATTTTCATAGGCCGCTCTTGTGACTTAGATAAAAAATTCCGTAGCGCCACGCGCGGGGTCGCAAACTTCAGTTAAATTTGACTAGCCGACACGAATCAAAGTGACTAGAACGCGACAAACATTGGCAAGAGATACCACCACTAAATTTCCAATTTGGAACCAAGACCGTCAATAGATGGCGCTATTTAAAAACTAAATAATACTTTAAAACAGCTCCATCTACCGGCGCCATTTCCACTAAATTAAGTACTCGACGTCCCCGCGCGAGTCGAATTCAAAAAACCCTTAAGTAAAAATTCCTAGGACCGTAAAGGCAAAACGTGACTCAAGCACGTTAAGAAATACGGGCCTTCTCGAAACTAATGTGATGCCTAGCGTTCCGAAAAAATAAATACATACAATATTTACAAATAAAGGATACAAATTAAGCTCATCAGTTCGAAGGGGGGCGATCACACTAGCACAGATTAAACAGTTGCTCATTTAAAAACGCCTCGTTAAGCGACATGATTAGAAGTAAAAAAATCACTATGAATTTGTTACAATTTTAATGTTACATTCGAGACTGTACAAATGTTTTTTCAAACCAGCATGAAGAACTTGCTTTTACCAGGAATACTTCGTACTTAGTGAGCAACTGTTTGCACTGTGGAGGGCAGAGATTCACTAACAGAAGCCACCAAAGCCGACAGAGGGCACCGACGGCACTGAGGGCACAGACGACTCCGCGTTCTTGTGCAAGTCTAGAAGTGGACTCGCTGATAGGTAGTGGGCCTGGAAATATACGGAATACTACAGCAAAACATTCATAAGGAGTTATTGGACATTTAATACCCTTGGTGAGTCCGTTTCCTATCTATCTATTTGGAATGAGGCTCCAAACAAACACAGACACAGCGCACGCTTACTACTAGCGATAGATGAATTTTGTCACAACCATATTTCTGACATGAATAAAGTTTTATTATAATTTTTTTTTTAAATAGTTCCATTTTTTGAGAACTGTTCGAAGACATATAGCAAACAATTTTTTTTATTATCAATGATATTTATTTTATTTTTATTTTTTATTTTATATTTAAATTTCAATTCGAAGTTTTTTTTCTTAGAACATTTTGGATAAAAGAAGAACTCTAAATGTTGATTCATAAAATACATATCTCAGCAACACATTGGAGTTTCATTCATCAGATTATTTATAAAAAAATTATTAACCATATTTTTTTAAAATCTATCATATATATTTATAGCTTTCAATAATTCCGGTTTGGAAATAATGTAGATTTCTTAAAAATAATTATAATTTGTTTGTGTTATCGTCTTATTACCTGCTGATGATGCGCAGGAGGCGGTCCTGCATATCCATTGTAGTAGGGCGTGTTGTAGGGCGCATACCCAGGGGCGTAGCCATATTGCCAGTCCGGGAGATAGCCCGGGGCAGGCCGCATCAGTTGGGTGCCCCATCCACCGCCGTAGCCCACGAATGGACCGCCGTAGCTGCAATTTATTTGTACATATGTAAAGACTGGTCCAATTTCCAACACGGGAGGCATGTCCCAATATAATAACAAAGAAAAATTAATGATTTTTTTAGGGATTAAGAAATTTATAATTAAAAAAAAAAAAAAAATACTGTCAAAAGTCAAAATTTAGTTGTTAGATTAATATCAATACTCACCCATTATTCCCATATGCCGGTGTGCCATACGCCGGATAGGGGGGGATAGAGCGCCGGAGTGTAGTCAGGCAAAGCTGGGACAGCAGGAGCTGGGGGCTCCGTTGTGCCACCCGTCGCCCCTCCACCAGTGCCCCCCTCCGCGATTGAGGGTATCTGGTCCACCAGGGATTCCAACCCTGAAAGACTTTTGGCTGAGACATCTTGATTTTTGGGCTTCGGTGTGCCAGGTCCGCTTTCGGTACCACCGTATTCGGCTGGAGAACCTGCAGAAATCATTGCTCGAATAAGATATATTTTATTTAATACTTAAAGGAATTCAAATAACTAAGAGGACAGTGGTATACAGTTTTTGGCAGATATTCTCCTGGCATAGTAAAGAATAGACTCTCTTTCTGTCAAATCGTTTTAACTCTGTGCAGAAAAGAGCAAGAACAATCCTCGGATGATTGACTTAGATTTCAATATCTCCACCAATATAACTTTTAACCATTTTTATTAAGTACTGCATTAAAAAAAAATCTTACCAGGCGGATGATGATGCTCAGCAGGTCTGAAGGCCGTAGACGCCATTGGAGAGAAGGCAGTTTCTTCGCCCACCGGGGGAGTCGATCTGAATTGTCAATGATTCCGCTTAATACTATGTTACAACTATTAAATTTGACCTAAAAAGGGCTTAAGCCACTTGGATTACACTGCTTTTTGTCTTTTAGAACTAAAGAAAATTATTCAGAAATGAGTCTGCCCCCAAAACCTATTGGAGCGTTATTGGACTTCAAACAATTAGTGTTAGTTAGTACTACTTTAATAATTCATTTGTTTAATTATTCTCACCGATAGCTTGTGAATTATTTTATATTAAAATTGAAATAAAATATAGCTTGTCTTGACAACATTTATATTCATTTATCATCCCAAGAAGCGGAAACTAATGACTAGTGTTAATTTGACATTTCATCATACAGATAATAAATCAATTATCATGCCCGGGTCTGATATCCAAAATTAACAGTATTCAAATTCATTAATGACAATCTGGGCTAAGCCGAGTAGATTAGCAGTGATGGTCTAGTGGCTTTATTGTGCGACATTCATCCTTAAGTTCTATCCCCGGCTGTCCACCAATAGACTTTCTATGTGCGCATTTAACATTCGCGCACGTTGAAGAAAATCATTGCGAGGAAATTGGCCAAAAAAAGACAGCGTGTATTAGGCTGATCCCTTACTTGCCTTTTAGATTGACAAATGATCATGAAACAGAAACAGCCCAGACCTATAAAGTCTGTGGCGCCACTGATTTTTTTTTTGTAAACTGAGTATTTTATCACAAACATACAGAAAAACATTGTATTTCGGTTAGTTTCCTATATTAAAAAATTAAAAATGTTTTTGTATTTATGGTATTTCATTGAAAATTGTTACAAACACTTACCTATTGAAATTACTAGGGAACATGGAGGGATGCTGATGTAACTGGTCTAACCGTGGACTCTCTGGGACACCGTTACCTGAAACACCTTTTCATATAACTCTCGTTTCGCTGCAGTTAAGTAGCTTATACTAAGCCTTTAATATCTTCGAATTCACTAAAAACCGACTTTGGTACTACAAAACAATTTATTAATTTATATATTTGTTTCCTGTAAATAGTGTATAATATAAAATATAATGATAAATCTTAGATTTGATGAGGAATTTAAATTATTGTGGTCTAATTAATTAAATTTCAAATTAATAAAAAAGGAAAACCCTATTTTTTTATTGTCTTCTAACTCTTTAGTTTATGAAGGAATGTGTAGTGGTGTGTAGCCCTATAGGTAGGTACCAAGGTTCTAGGTTTTAATGTATAGGCAATAATAATAATTAAAATATATAAAGTCAAAATCTATTATAACGACATCGAAGGGACGACTCATATTTGCAAGGGATGACCTTGTTATTATGTACCTAATACAATAGAATTCAGCCGGGACCTTTGATTTTGGTCAATATAACCGGTATAACCGGTGACTGTATATATATATTACGACATAAAACTCACCCTGCTCCTGCGCATAGTGGTAGTCGTGCGGCTTGTCTGCGTCATAGGGCATCTCCCTTTCGTACATGTTGCTAAAGGCCCCCGAGGAGGCCCCGGGCCCAGGGGACACTTCCGCCCCGCTTGCGCTGGGTTGCTATAAATAACGACACATTATTTCTACGAATCACAATTTAAGCTGCGCTGCGTCATATTAATCCTAAAAAATCTAAATCTAAATTCATTTACATTTTATTTAAAAAAAACGGCTATTTCATATTTAATAAATTATGCAATGTAAAATATATAGTTTATATAATGTAGTATGTATTACCTTATTATAATCCGACAGGGATGAATTACTATTGCTTCCCGGATGCATATCCGTGCTTCCCATGGGGCTTGCGTCATCCCGGGGCGGCTCAAAGTCCAGAGTTGCCATCCCGGGGGAAACAACGCCAGGGGAGGATATCGCTGCGCCGATTTCATGTGATAATTCACCGCCGTACGAACCCGAACCACCGTTTGAACCTCCACCCTGCACGTAAATTGATTTTAATTACTAGAACAGTCTAAAATAGAGTTCTGACACTCCGTAGGAATATTTATAATTATAATTTAGTAATAGTATTATTAGTGTATTTTCGCTCGTACGGTGAAGGATAACAAGGGAAACTGGCAAGCCTTAGTTAGACCCGAAACGTGGAGTGTGTATCAGGCTAATAACCAAGTAGGTTAGATACACTGATAGTAGAAAACTATAACGAAAAGAGATACAGAAATCAAAGACCAACACGGGTTGTAGCGCCACGGTTTTATACTAAGTTGCCGTATATCATCACACGAATCATTTATTTTGACGAAGGATAAATTTAGACCCAAAAATTGTTACGCTCTTAATATGGAATGCTGATCATTAAAAATATACACGTACAGTTCAGACAAGAGTCAAGACCAAGGATCCGGTGCCATGTTTTAAACACCATAAACGGTGATCGAACGACGTGTATAACGGAATAAAGACTGATTCACCAATTACAATTGGCTTTAAAGAAAAATTTATAATACTTTTACAGACGCTCTTGAATGTCCAATTAACAAGAATTGTAACATTTCTTCATGGTCTAAGAATACCGATATACATTTTAAATTAATTTTTTTAAATATTAATTAAACATACTCTGGACTAAAGTCTGCTGTAGGCAACCCATATGGATTATATTTATTGATTTATTAAATAAAATATAAAATACGTTTCATTAAATAAGCTTCTATGTTAAGGTGTTATAGTAACAGGATCATATACTAACAACATTTAAGATTTACCAAAACCTAAATTTGGAATCTTATCCTTATGCGAAATTGCATACCGTCTGTATTTTATTAACAATTTTCAATATTCGTGACTAAGTAAAGTGGTCTAAAAATAATGTTAAAATTAATAATTTAAATACTTCTTCATAACAATTGACAAATATATTTTGTATATCACTACGAAAAATATTTTCAGTGTCTTCTTATTGAAGCAATTTTATATGTAATAAATCATGGGCGAACGGACAGAAGGTCACCATGTCAGGTTACTCTTACTAAAAGATAGGATGATTGTCATTTCAGCAAGTTTTTAGAAGAGGCACGCTTTGTTCTTGTTATGATTGAACTGGAAACTCGGACGAGGGGACTGGTTAATCTCAGGGTAAGATTCAGAAACGAGACTTAAGCCCGTATTCCAAAGTGCCTCAAGTTACAATCTCCGCTTGTCAAATATGTCAAAGTGAATAAATGGAGTACTGAGGCGCGCCGGCCCGTGATAGTAAATACTTGTGTAAAACATTAAATTAATGTAATTTTACGATATTCTTTCTGAAATGGATTATTTGACTTGCGATAAAATATATCGTGTAAATTTAAAAATCATGTTCTATATACATTATCGTCATAAAATGAATTCATAGTGACAAAAATTGGCTATGTTTGGATTTTTTTCTATAGAGCGAAGTTATTTAAATCGTGTATCGATCTTTCAAAATGGATAGATAAGCTACTCAACTCCACCATATATTTTTTCCATTCACCCTACTTCAAGAAACGATGACGAAAAATGGAAAGAAACAATCTACTTTTTTGGAGTTTGGGTAACTTTCGTGCGTCAACATTGTATTAGATTTTGACATACAGGATTCATAGTTTGTGAATCCCTGAGTGGATGATTGTTCTAACGCACCTGTGAGAAGTGATGCGACTCGGTGTAGGCGGGCGTCAGGGGCGCTGGGGCGGCGGGCGACGAGTGGTGGCTGTAGGGCGTGTGCGCCGGCGATGGCGTGTACGAGTGCAGTGTTCCACCCGCAGGAGATGCCGCGGGGAACGGGGTACTGTTGCCCCCTGACATCACTCCCACCGCGGGCACGGGGGACTGCGAGTAGGGGACGGTTTGCGACTGGAAAGGTATCAACTTCATTAATACACAGATGATGGAATTAAAGTGGATAATAAATACACAATATTTACTTTGCATCTAAAGAATTCATCTTTTAGTGTCTCGCAGTGAAACACAAATAGTTTTAGTTTAAACATTGTAATTTAACTAAATTCATTTTTACAAATATAGGAGAAAACACAATAAATACATATTTTTAACACAAAAAATAGAATATAAAAATCTCTAAAAAAATAATCAATTTATGTAATTTAAATATAATTTTTTAACCCCAGAGCTGGTGCATACAGTGAAAGTATACCTACTACACTGCCACAGGTTAAGAAAATTGTAAATACTGTATAATACATCCTAATATTTTAAATAAAAAATATTACAATAAAAATAAATTTTTGTTAGACCATGATTATTCACCAAGCATGCGAAGGTTTTTTTAGGTTATTATGAGTTATATCTGAGTTTCATGAGGATGAAATTGTCATTTAACATGAAATATAGTTTTGGTTAAATTTAATAAAATAGAACCCATACCATATGGTAAAACCATATACATAATAAATATAAAACCATTAATAAACTAGTATATAGACTATGAAGAAAACTAGATATAAATAAATAAATCCATTACCTGTGCCCCAGGATCCCGGCCATACGCCATCTGCTCGTGGGCGAACCTAGGCTGCGATTGCGGCGCTGGGCTCGGCTGCTGATACGAAGGAGAGCTAGCGTAGAGGGGCGAGCGTGCGGCAAAAGTGCCCCCCACTCGCACGCCGGGGGAGCCAAACGACCCCCGCGGCGGAGACGGAGCCGAAAAGGCTGCTGGACTCGAGGGGAACTGAGAATCGAAATAATTATTTATGATGAACCCATTTTACATGCTTTTTGTGACGTCAGATATTGTTATGTCTCAGAGAACTGGAAGTAAAGAACTTCAAAGAAGAATTAACGGAAACGAGAACCGTTGTGTAATTTGAGGTAACTGTAGTACTGTATTCCGTGTTCAGCGTACCATTGGCTCTCTGAACACTGAACTATGACAAAACAGAATCATTGTTAAATCCTACATTATAATTTTTCCTTAATCCATCTTTTTCATGCACACTTTCACTTAGATTTGTTTCGCCTTTCACACACACACACAATTCACATCATCATCACATATTTATTTATTATTATTATTGTTAGAACATATCATTGACTCTATAATTACCTGTTGTCCCTGCCCCTGCGGCTGTGGAGTTGCGGCTAACCGTTGAGGTGTCGGCGAATAGGGCTGCGACCGTGGGGACGCGTACACCCCGCGAGGGGACACGTACCCGGCGCGGCCTAATCCCAGAGACCCAGAGACGTCTAATGGGGAGTCCATACCACCGCCTAGGAGAAAAATATCAATCAATGGAAATAAACTAGAATAGTTCCACGGAAATTACTGAACCACGACATTTTATAAAAATATTTTTTTCTTATTTTTACCCTATTGAACACTAATAACGATTTTAGTTATAAATAATAATTAATGACGTCACATATGTGATGGTAGATAGGAAATGGTTTCTGTTTCACAATGCGAGTAGTGTCAGGTATTCAAATAATTAATTAATATTCTATCTTTCTTTATTTCAATTAAGATTCCTTTAGCACACAATGTTTTTACTACTTATATTTGGTTGGCAAAAGAATCAAAATCTGAGTTACCTACTTAAGTACAACTAGGTTTTTTAACTTAGCACCAAATAGAAGATAGGTTAGTGGCACTTTCTGTATATGTACGACATTAGTCAATTCAGTTAACTAAAATAAGATAGAAAATATTAACTGATAGATGTTACCCTCAGAAACAAATAGTTTTTTTGTGTTATTATTTTAAATTCTCTATAATTGCTTAAAGAGCATATAACAATTAGTTTTTTTTTATTAATTATGATGTTAGTATTTAAAGCTTCAGCAAGGGCTTAGTATATGACTTATAACAATACGCACAATAAATTAATAATAAATAATTACCATTATTAGGCTGATAATACGGCGAGCCATCAGACATCTGTTGGTGTTGCTGGTGGTGCTGATACAGCATCCCTTGCTGGAGCGGAGATGGCATCTGCGAAGGGTAGTCACCGTGACCCATGAACTGCTCGTGCGGTAATGATGACATTGATGACAATTGAGGCTGGAGCATTGTATTAGGCTGAAAAAGGGGATTTGTTAGAATTTAGAGCATAATTAAAACTATACTACTTTAGGGAGTGTTCAAGTATTACGTCACGCAATTGTTGAAGATTATTGACCCCCCCCCCCATGTAACGCACCGTAACGTTTTACTGTACCCAATAGTAAAACGTTTCGTGACCAGCCAGTGACTCTTTATACCTAAAAGTTACCATTATGTGGTGTAAAGTACTGGAAAGTCGAAAATAATATTAACAATAAGGGCTCATACCCACGAGACGGTTTCAACACGGCCCGGTTTTTGGCCGGCGCCGGGTACAACTCAAAACCGCTCCCACACAAGACGGTTTGTACACAACCCGGTTTGTACGACCCGGTTGCCGCCTTCATACGCTCTTTTCATTCAATGAATTGCGGACGTATAAAATGTTGAGTGTTAAAAAGAGGAAATGTATTATTGCGTGGTACATGTATAAAAAACGAAAAAAATACATAAGATGACATTGGGTACCTCCCATGTTAACAGAAAGAGAAGATCATGGTGCATTTCATACGCTCATTCAGAAGCAACTATGACGAGAAATTTGAGAAAGTACTTTCGAATGAAAAAAGAAACATTATAAAAATGTTACATATTTTGGAACCCAAACTTAAAACATGAAGATACAAATATGGAGTAGTATATCTCAATTAATATTTCCTGGTCGACTTCAATAATAATATAAATATTGCGTTGTCCGTACTGGAGGTAGTCGGCACGGGGGGCGGGTGGGGGGGGGTGGGGCCGGTCTCGTGTACATGCGCTCATACTGCCATACTCCACTGCGCACCGGGCGTAGACGGGGCGAGCACCGTGCCCGGTTGCGCGGAAAGCCGGCGCTAGCGCCGGCGTCGTGTGCATGGCGTCATAGACGTCATAGTCCCATACAAGACTGTCGACCGGACCCGGTTTTTCGCCGGAGCAGGCCCGCGAAAACCGGGTTGTGGCCATGAGCCGTAACGCTAATCAAACCCCGCCCCGCATCATAACGTTTTACAAAACGACGCTCCCCCCCCAAATTCGTTACGTAATACTTGAACGCTCCTTACTTATTTTTCGTAATTTTTGATTTATGTGAATGTAATCATTTGGAAACCACACATTGGTTTGTGTTCTCTAACTTAATAAATAATTCTAACAGAAAGTTTGTTTAGTTTTTTAAATATTTTCTGTGCGATAAAATACAGATTAATCTCGTTACAATATAATTGCAAAATATAGCAAGGAATCTGAAATAATATCACAAATTACGGAGTCAGACTATAGAATATTTAAGTTTTAAATGACCAGTGTGGATGGACACTGCGATACTCTCGGATTCAGTTGACTTAGTGTTAAGTTAGAGTATTATATTGTAAAGTTAATGTATTGAACTAGACATACAAATCATACATAGAGCTCAATCTCTAGGCTGCATTAGTATTTATATATGTGTTTCTGTGCACACATTGATGAGTGCAAGAGAGCCAATTTATTAATTAATTCTGTTTATAAACTTCATCATACTAAAATAATATCATAATAATAAAACTGGGTGGTTTCATTGTTCAATTTATTGTGCACAAATATAAATTTCATACCTCATACAGATGGATATGCTATTTATTATTGACACTATTGAATAAACAACAAAAAAATAAAAATGGGTCCGGGTTAAAAAGTGTCTAGTACTAAAAACCTAGACCAGATTTGGGTTACACTGTTACATGACTATAGCTATTAGGGTCGATTCGACCAAACAAGAGTAAATCTTAATCTTAGAATAAATCGTCAGTTAATCGAGAGTAAATAAATTTTACGTTTTACCATCTACAAATTCTAAGAATAGTGGGCCTATTCGGGAATTGCTACTATACCGCCGTTTTGCACGGAATAAAAGCTATTCCTAGAATAATTTAATGGCGTCAGTCAGTCCAATCATCTGATTTCTGTCATTTCACAAAAATATGTATTCTGTGTTTTAATTTCAAGTCAACGCAACGCACTAAATTAATAGTCTGGCATTGTTTAATTAAATGTTTAAACAATTTATTATTTATCTATTTATTTTTAGATTTTTTATTTTCTATAATATTAGAATGAAATTCAACTAGGCTCAACAGAAGTTCCTTTTTAGACGAAAGCCTCAAACAAACAACAAATAAAAACTTTTTGTTGTCGTTTGACACCTGTTAAAAGCTACTTTTCACACTATAATACGGCAAAATCTAGTTGACATGATGTATGCTCTTACACTATCCCGTTGTAGAACAACATTTATTAGCCGAGTTTTATTTTCCATCACCATTCTCTTTGCTATTCGCGTATTGTTATTCCTAGCGCAATTATACTATCGATTACGTGGAGAAACGACTATGGATTTACTCGAGATTAAAATCATGGAATAGATTATTCCTGGTATAGTTACTCGTGTATAAAATATAAATTGAAGTTTGGTCGAATCGACTTAATGAGACAGTTGTCAAATAACATCGCTTTGTCAGTTGATAATCGATTCTAGATTGATATGAATATGAAAAAAATCTATTGTATCTTAATAATCATCCACATTTAAAAAAATGCTCAATTGTTCAAAGCATTTATATCATCAAATATAGTTGAAACATGAAAATAAAAAGTGATACATGATCCTATACTTTACATACGTATCTTGGACTTGTTATATTTATTAAATATAATACTATAATAATAAGATATAAAAAAGGCTTTACTAACATCTGAGCTCACCTGCGGCTGCGGTGGTTGTTGTTGTTGTTGCTGCATCAAAAACTGTTGCTCCTCCGGCCTTATCTTCTTCGGTCTGCCTCTCTTCTTTTTGGGCGGTTGTTCGGCGTTTGGATCTAAGTTTGGCGGAGCGCGTGGCTGCCTAGGTGCCCTCGGAGTGGGCGGCGCAGTTTCCCCATTCTCCAACTTAATCTTCTTCGGTCTTCCTCTCTTCTTTTTCAGGGGAACTTCTGTTCCATCTTCTAGTATGATTGTGTCACCCGGTTCCGGCTCCATCGTCAGCCTGTGGATGGACGTGCTTCGGTCCAGTATTTTTACATTTCGATAAACTGGTTTTGGTTAGGTAAAGCAAGAACATCTAAAGTCATTTGTTAGTGCACAAATACAAACAAGTATTATATGTATAGAAGTGAGTTTGTTACGCGTTTTCATGTCACCGTAAAACTATAAATACCGTTACATTATATTTATTCTATTGACATTTTAATCAAGTGAGAAATAATGCGTTAAATCATGTAGTATGTTACGGTTATATGAATGTATACGACGAGATTTATAGATTACGATGACATTACACACGAACTGATTTATGACCTAATATAGGTAGTACAATAAAACATTATCTTTTTTTTATATTTGAGTATATCAAAGAGTACGTAGATTAATTCAGCGTAACAAACAAACACTATTTTAGATGTAATTTTTAATTAAGTAAGTTGGTAAGCAAATCATGGCATTGCTTCACCAAGTATTAAATAATAAAAACAAATTGTTTTAAATATAAATTGCATAATCCTTAAAATATTAAACAGAATCCCAGGACACATTTATAGAAAACTATCATTCACCTGCGAATCTCCATCTCCTCCTGCGGACGTCTACTAGTATTATCAGGAAAGACCAGTTCCGCCTCATCCACGTGTGCTACTAATCCATTTAAGTAGTCCCGGAACTTCTTGAGCGCCGCGTAAAATGGTACTTTATCCGCTGCTCTTGGTAGTTGAGCGCATCTAGCTGATGATGACGGCATAACCCACATGTACTGGAATCAAAATTTTATTTTAAAATTTAGAGCAAAAAATACGCCAGGATATCTTGGCAATCTTTCATTTACTTGCAGCAAAAGCTTGCTTTTTTACTTGACAAAAAAGTCCTAGCAAAGTTTGTTTTGTTAAAAGAACCAGTTAACTTTACCAGTTATCATCATACTTTAATTAACTCAATGATTTTTATTCAATTTAAAATGATAAATATGACCGGCACTTTATATTATACATTGTTTAGTTTCAAATTAATTAAATTAAATTTGTTATCACAGGAAAAACAGACATAAGACATTCTTAAGCAGCAGACAAGAAGCGGGACCACGGATTGTTGTGAGTGGTCGGACTTTAATTCGGTAATATTATTAATTTCATCTATAATTAATTTTAATATAGTTGTTTGCGTCTTGTTCCCACTATAGTGCGTGCTCATACTTCTACTGCTGATAGCGGCTTAGAACGAAATGGTAGGCAATTAAATACAATGGCAGAGTTTATTTTCGTTAGCCAGTGATTCTCATTTGTGCTACGCCCTTGATCAATACATATAGTTAATGTAGGGAACATGTTTATATTTTATATATAATTCTATTGTACGTCATTGAACTCCTATTCAACGGCTGGACCGATTTGAATAAAGTTTTTTGTATGCTATATGTGATATATTTACCGTATTCGTCCCAGCGATCGTATCGGGTTGTTTCCCAAAGCAAAAGTCCTTTTTCCCAGAAAAAACTTCATATATCAGCTTCCCATTAAACACGGCGACTTTCGGCCGAAATGTCTGCAATTTCTCCAACAGTATCGCCGAACCTTCCTTAATCTCACGTCGCGTTAAGTCTGCTGAACCCTTCGTCGGTCTAGCCACCATATTCGTGAAACCGATGCCGAAGTTCAGTAACTGAAAAATATGATATTTTTATTAGTGAAGCGGTTCTATGCTATATATAAAATACATAAAATTCTTGTGTCACAATGTTCGTTCCCATACACCTCCGAAACGGCTCGATCGATTCTTATGAAATTCTTTATGCATATTCAGTAAGTCTGAGAATCGGGTAAAATCTCTTTTTCATCCCCCTAAATTTTATTTTTTAGACAAAACTTTTTGCTTTTATTTTTTATGATACAGCATACAAAATACATACAACCTTTAATTGTCGCCCCTCTACGATCAACCCCTATGTTTTATTATAGTAGATAGTTATTTTTATGGAACTACAAAAATGTTTCCTAGAAATAATACAAATGGCAACACAACGTTTACCGGGTCGGCTAGTATACCTATATAAATCTGTTTAGTATCAACGGACCACATAGATATTTAAAATACATCGTAAACACAGACTCCATTACAATTCAAAGTAATAAAATAATAATCTTACTAACACTATGACTTATGAACGTAAAATATAACTTTCAAATTTAATTTTCAAACCTTAAACTAACCTCTCTTGATATCAAAATAAACTCAAATTTGTCAATACGACATAAACTTACATAAGGGGAAATTTATTTACAAAAAGTACACCTGTCTCTTGTCATCACATCGTTAAAGCAATTTGACAGAAACAGACGGAGTACTTTATCGTCCAATTGCACTGATTTAGTTTTTATAAATAAGGGCTACAAAGTGTATAACATAGTGATAATTATGAAGTCCCGATAGTGCGTGTAGATTAGGAACGTATGTATTGGATTAACTACTTGCTTAGAACAACTAATCAGTGATAAGCCCTTTAGAAAAGAGGGCATGCATAATTAATATTGCAATTTCTATTTAACATCGCTTTGGTCCCGTGCGACGTCCCTATAGATTTCAATGTTTAGACCACTGGTCTTTGGAATGAAATATGTATACATTTATCAATACAATATATATGTCGCAGCCAACTAGTATAATTAGCCGTTTAACTAGCGGCCTGAAAGATATTCAGCCGTAGCGTTTGTTACAACATTTAAAAAACTGTCTGGTTAATGCTTAGGCCATTCGTACGAATGATGAAACGTATGACATAAAAAATACTTCTTTTAATCAACTAAAATCAAATTTTCGTCGCAGTTATAAAGAACTAGATGAGATTATAGAGATAACTCAAAAAAAATCCCACAAAATCTATTGATTTATCTATTTTTGTAAACATTTATTCTTATTTTTTATTTTCTTTTTTGACTATTATATACTTTTACACAAAACTATTATTTTTATTTTCTACTTAATATTATTGTTATTACAATATTTTTCTTTTTTTGCGACTGAGTCGCAAACTTGCTTTTGTGGACTCTGGTAGAATGACCAGCGCTGAGGAACAGCCTGCTCCTCAGCATAATGCTGAGCCAGGGCCAGTTACAACCACAACACACACGCATTACACATATAAAACGTACCTTGTTATTTAAAAGAATTAGATTACCTTTTTTTATTATTATTATTTTGTGTCTAACCAAAATACGACAAGAACTAGCTTAAAATCAGTTAGGTATGAGTTGTCCAATACGGCTTAAACATAGCTACTTATCTATTAAGACCTGGACGCATGCTGGAGCCAAAACTGCACAATCTATTTCATAACTACAATGTGTTGGACATTCTTCAAGACAGCACTACTGCTACACACCATCCATGTTCGAAACGGCGTATTTTGAAAGTTTCAGTTCCTGACCTTATAATCGAATAATAGCCACTAGACTAAAGAGGCAGTTATAAAAATATATTATCTACCTTGTAATCCTCATCAGCGCTCATCTGTTCCCTCGTAAGCCCGGACAGGTACAGACATTTCCAAAAGTGGTTTCCCGGACCCGCGTAATGATGACCCTTGTACGCCGCAAACAGACCCGGGTTAATACCAATCTGTGGAGAGTAGAGAATTTATTAATATACCTTCAGTGTACACCAGGTCAATAAAGTATAGAATTACTAATACGAAAGCTAAAAGCTAATTCTTCTCAAGCCGAAACATTGCTATTTCGTTGTGAATCGAACCAAGTATTACACTGAGCTAGGGAACGAATAAAATTGTAAAATACCTATGAGCAAAGGGGAGAGTTAAAACATTAACACGACATTGATTAATTGGCTAGGCATTTATATAAATGAAGAAAAAAAAATTTTAAGCAACATGCAACAAATATTCATTTGATACCTATAGATTCCACACCGACTTCTATAATCTTTACCGTTACTCGTTTTAGCAATAATTCCCCAATTGAACGTACACGTAAACGTTAAACAAACTAACTTAGGACTGGATTTAAAAAGTTCAAAGCACTCTCAATTACCTATACAAAAGATTGTTATACTACCCACATTTAGCGCAGAAAATCGTTTGTAAATATAACTAAATATACACAAAATTGTCTATGGGTTGACGACAAAAGAATTTGTGGGGTGATGAGATAACAAATGTGGAGAAGGCTTATTACCAGGGGTACATACTAAAAAACACAAAATAATAACGAACCTAGACTGATGGATACATGAAATAAAAATATATAACAATGCAAAAAAACTCAAGTCTTGTTTCGCGCAGCCCGGACATACGACTAATATTTAAACAACAAGTGTTTACGTTATCGCGGAATATGCTAAAAAGGAGTAGCAAGAACATCTATAGCGCTAAATCATCATGAGCACACCCCACATACACACCCTTGAAGTATTAACCATCACCTCCTCACCATCACACAGCACAGCCGAATTAGGTATTACTTATTTAATAATTTTTATTGATTTTTCCTTTCGTATTGGTTTTCGTAAATATTTAACTCTTTTATATATTACTAGCTGTACCCCGCCACGCTTCGCAGTGGCACATTGTGATTGAATGGTTGAGAAATGAGAAACAAAACAAAGTTTAATCTTGCAATATTGTGGGGAAAAAATACATAAAAACAATCCTTGATGCGGATTATATATCATGCTAAAATTTCAGCTCGATCGGTGCAAAACTTTTTGAGTTTTTGAAGCGTACACAAACCAACATAACATTTATATATATATAGATACATTCCATCTTTGGCTATATGTTTAGTATAATTGTTTTTTCTTTTAAATAATTTATGTTAGCTTTAGAAATACGAAATAAATAGATAAATAAAAATTCTTCAACACAGTGATACCCACCCAATTAGAGTTCACAATATCAAATTACTAATTAGGTTTTTTTTTCGATTACAAAAACGTGTGCACTTAGCCTTAATTAAATGCCTCAACAATTGCAATAAGGAAGACAATTACAGATTAAAAATGGAGATTTTCGCATACAGTAAACAAGAACTGCGTCTGAAATTAAATTTTCGTATCATAAATACGTGCAAACGATCAACTATACCTCTCGACTAAAGATCTCTAGTTTTAAAGAAAAAATAAGGTTTAACTGTCATATATCATATAGGGTATCATGTCATTGATTTCGAAACAAGTACGTCGCGATTTATAAAAAAAAAAAAAAAAAAAAATTTTTTTTTTTTTTTTTTTTTTTTTTTTTTTGTGGGGGGGGGGGGGGGGCGCCAAAAAAATTTTTTTTTTTTTTTTTTTTTTTTTCTGGGGGGGGGGGGGGGGGGGGGGGGGGGAAAAAAAAAAAAAAAAAAAAAAAAAAAAAAAAAAAAAAAAAAAAAAAATATATTTTTTTTTTCCCCCAAACCCCCCCTCTTTTAAAAAAAAAAAAATTTCCCTTTCCTTAAAAAAAAATTTTTCGCCCCCCCAAAAGATTTTTTTTGTAAAAATTCCATCTCACAGCTCATCCTTCTTAGGCAATTCCGATTTTCTTCTTATGATCTCCGCCATTAAGTTGTGGAATAGGGTGCCCGACTCCATACGATTGGCTACCTCCCTAACATCTTTTAAAACTCTTCTACATAACATTTCTTAACCATATCCTATGCTGCTCAATCGTGACTTTTGTAATTCTTGTATTTCTCATTATTTTGTATTGCATCACAATTCATGAATCCGTGAGATGACTTTTTAGTTTTTTTTATATTTTTTTGTATTATTTTAGATTAAGGTTGGTTATTCTATAAGATTTGGTGTACACTTCTTGTACTTTACCCATAATATTATTATTTTTTAGTTTTTTTCATATTCCCTAGTAAACTACCAGGAGTGAAGGATCAACTAAGAGCTACCAACAAATATAAATAGGACTCTCGATCGTACTCACAATGATGATGTCGAGGTTCTCCGCTAAGTGGTCGGGCAGCGTCCGTCTTGACACCTCCTCTTCGCTCATTCCATTGAATCTGTCGTGCTTTTTTCTTTCCTTCACTGGTCTTGGTATTAACGCGCCCTCTAAGCCTTCCGTTTTGATTTCCATACTGAAATTAACAAGGTAAATATTTAGATAGCTTTACATGTAAACTAAAATTTATTGTAAAATCAAAAATGTGTTTAAAACTGATTAAATCATATTATAATTACATTATAAAGTTAGTTTTGCTTGTATGGCTTTTGTCAAACTTTGATAAAAGGTCTAGGATTAATAGAATTTAATTACATATAAACTCATTGGCAATATACTTTCTTTTATAAGACGAGCAGCTTATGTACGCCCAAAAAAGGCAGTCATCGCAGCCTATGGACATACATTTTAATGGGTGCGTCGCTTAGATATGAAACATTTAAAAAAAAAAATTCAAATTTAGTCATTACCTACAGGGAAGGTTTTACTATAACTAACGTAGCCCTTAAATATAATTCCCGATAGACTTGAGATGAGAGTTATCAAAACAAGAATCAAATTAGAGAATGGTTGCAACTTGCAAGTGGGAACAACGCGTCAACCAATCAGAGCACTTGACCGCGCAGACGTTCCACGCTCTGATTGGCTGACGATGACGACATATTGAAGCCGCAACACGGTGCAAGCTATATCGAAGACAACAGCAGAGTTCCTTCACAAGTGGTCAATATTCACTAAACAAACACTTCACTTTAGCAAATCCCGGCGAGTGTTAAGTGAAAATCCTCTCTCATCGGCATCAGTCACGTTTCTATCGATTTTGAGTATTTTTCTATACTATTTTTGGAAAGTCTATTTGAAGAGGGCTTTAACCCTTTAGTTCGCAGAACAAAAAATTCTCAAAATTCGTATTTTTTTCTATTTATACGCTTTATTTATGAGTTAAAACTATACAGAAAAATTACAAAAAAATATAGAATGTGCCTATTTCGAGAAAACATATGTCGTTAAAATACGACACTGCGCATCCCTCTAAGATATAAATTGAATAATGTATGTCGTTGACAACCAACACTGCGGCATACTGTAGGAAATAAAGCAAAAAGATAAAACACGTTTTTTTAAATATATTTTAATGTTCGTTTAACAAACTTAAGGAATGTTACTCACTAACATGGTAATTATAAAACAATTTCTTTTGGCCACCAAACACAGTCTAAGGTTACATTTGTTACAAAGGATACTTGAGTATCCCTTTTTACAGTACTTGCACCTCCTTGAGCTACAAAAGTCGGCAGGTGCCCTAAATTGTCGAACCACGGCATAGGTGGTCTTGGAGCAGAAGGAAGTTTTATTTTCAAGTGCATCATTTTCCTGTACATCTTCCTGATGAATTCTGTTTTTCTGCAATAGTTCTGTCACTAAATCTATCCTAAATTCTTTTAGAGACTTTGTTTTTGTGTTTAGTGATCTCTCCTATATTGCAGCCATGCATTATTAACACAAATATCCAGAGCCTGTGAAAATAAAGCCATGTACCATCTTTTTGTCTTAAAATTGGAGCGATACAAAGATATCAGCATGTCTGATAGATCCACCCCGCCCATGTGAGCGTTGTAATGCTTCACTATTTGTGGGCAGCTCTACATCAACTTTAGATTTAGTTTCCTTGCAATACCGCTTTATCTTTTCTTTTGGATGTGAATCAACATACGGACTTGCTAATGTCACTACTTTATTGTCAAACCACTTGACTACGGCAATTTATTGGCATTGCACACAATCTGTTGATTTGGCCTCTTTCCTTTTTTTGCCAGTACCTTGTCTGATGACAAAATGGTTTGACATCCCTCAAACGATTATTCTTTATCGTCCCTAAGCTAAACAGGCCATATTCGTTTCGTAAATGTTGAATAAGTTCTAGGACGTAAAAAAATTATCAAAATAAACCGTTGAAGGCTTTTCTTTAATGGTCTTACAGAGTGCTATAACGACCTTAGCACCAAGACCCAAACTATTCTCATACTCTGTAAAACATCTCCCTGAAAGTATCCTCACCGCCGTAAGGGAGGAAATCATATATTAAGCCGGATACTCCTGCTCTTACAAAGATTTTAAAGCCCCATTTTTTTGGCTTTTTGGCAAATATTGGCGTCTACTTCCTGCGTGCCTTTAGGCAGGGCACCATCATTTCATCGACACTGTATTTTTTTCTTCCTCAAGCTGTAAACAGTTATTGCGAACACATTCCAAAATTGGTCTAACTTTGAAATACCGGTCGTCATTTGTGTCTGTTTGTCTACAAAATGAAGATATCGTCGTATTTTTTCATATTTTTTAAAGTCATTATATTAGCCACAAGGGGATATCTCAACGCATTACCTCAATAGTCTCTGTAACTGGCATTTGTACTACACCCATCAGCAAAGTTATGGCGATAAAATCTCTAATGTCATCAGTAGTAATGTTGATACTCCGGGCTGCTCCACTTTGAACTGAATACAAATTAGTGGTTATCTGTAATTAACTTGAAAATATTTTTCTGAAAAAAAGGCGTTAAAGTAATCTAAGGGTGACTTTACGGTTGCTTCGACTGGTGGTACATACGACGGTAATTCGATGATAGCTGAATGCTGAAATTTATTGCGTTTCCACTTAAATATTAAGGGTTTCCTTACAAACTTCTTTACTCGTTTTGAGACAACTCTAGACACTGCGTTTGTCTTTCTTTTAGAACGAGTTGTTGCAGCCGGGGAATTAATAAGTGGAGATAGCACTGATGAAACTGAATTCAATAGAGGTAATTGCTCCTGTGGCCTACCACTGGGAAACATTTTGTTTATTACGGGTGACAATGGAACGGTTTCTTCATTTGACAATACTATTGGTGATGAGGAGATGGTATGTTTTCTATGTCTTCGTCATCGGAAGTCAAAATATTCATACGGTCCAAGGAAGAGGGATAAGACTGTGGATCCGAACTGCAATAGGTTACATCATCATCATCATAATTTCTTTTTTGAAGGAGATTCTCATGTAGAGCCACTGCTATCCGACGACGGTGCCTTTTCTGGTGGTACTAGCGCCATTATAGCTTCGTAGTTGCCATTTTGGTTTTATCTGGAGCAAACAAAATCAAACCATACCAAACTACACCCAAAGCAACGCAAAAAATAAACATGCTAAACCGTTCACCACACATAACCAATAATATAGCATACAAGGTTATATAATATAGTATACAAGGTTTAAAACATTCAAGAAACAAAAAAAACTTATTGCAGAGTATTACGCTAGTAAACGGAGTGTAGCTCGTGAACAACGTCAAAACATCAAGTACCTTGCTGCATGTCTCGCAGTGTTGTTCGCCAACAAACACACCTATTTCGAATACTATAAAACGTTATTGAAAAGATAAAATAATCATATTAATACTTTAAAACATTTAGTAGGTATACTAGTTTATAAAATCAGTGTGACTTAATCATTTAAATCAGTTAATACTCACAAAAAAATATATATTTACCTTTAATGACGTTGCACATTTGGATGCCATCTTGCAAACGAATGTTAGAAAGAGCGCATAAAGTGAAGTTTGATATTTTTTTCAAATTGCGTTCTGTTTCACCTAAGCCGTGAACATGAATAATCATTAAAAATAAAAACGATACGTAAGTTTTTTTTTTGTTTACTATGTGAACAAATGGAATTGGGTATACTAAATCACTGTCTCCCTTAATCACAGCGTAAACATGATTTGAAAGAAAGAGACAAATGAGTTAGTATGTATTTGGATTGATTTAGTTTTAATGAAGTTAGTACTAGATTTAAAAAAATATTAATAAAAAATTTATTAATTAAAATAATGTAAAATATACCTTATTGCATTTATATATATTTATACCTATGTATGACTTGACGTATATTTGACATAACTATGCTTTATTTCAACTAAACTTATAATATGATAAAACAACCAGCCCACCGCGATAGACAATTAATAAATAATGTAACCATTTTTGGACATTTTAAAATCCACAAAACTCCGAAATAACTATGGTTCGAAATGTATTTGCTATTGCATGTGAAACCTAAGGTTTGATCACTGTCTCAGTAAAAAAAACAGTAAATCGCACTTCTCTCTTTGTGCTAATTGAGGCTACCAGTAATGTGAAAAGCATTAGCCCGAATCCACCTTGATCCGATTATTTTAGTGGGATTTTTGGCTAGCGGTATCGCGGTTCCGGTACAGAAATACTTCCTACGTAAACACTGCGCAACGCATCTATTAACAATCGCAGTGCCACCAATACTAGCTAATGTTAACTTCAGCCGCATATACTAAACGGCCCTTTGACTCCACACCAGAATCCCTGCTATTTAGAAACTGACAGTGAAACCGGGGATCCGGGGTCGCTCGGGGTCTACTGGAGTAGTAGTTTTAGCTTAGCATAGTAGTAACATTTTTTCCTAATAATTATATCGATGTGTCTTTGAGATAAAATCTTACTCGATTCTCGATTTTCACGTATCCTGACATCATTCATTTTAAAATTCCTTTAACATTACTAAACGTACTATTCGCTTTAAAGATTCACTTTTTTTTTTTAAATGACGTAACAATTAGAATACGATTAACCATATTTATTAAAATATTTTTTTACTAAAATAAGTCCCGACGTTTATGCAGCCTGCGTAATCCACACAGGCAGTACAACATTCGTATGCAAGTCTTGTAATATGGATACCCTTGGTTCCATGGTTATGATATACTCTCCCCGATCCCATACGATTACGACCTGCCTAACATCTTTTAAGATTTCTATATAATACCCTCCTAACCATATCCTTTCTATCTGTTTAATTGTGACGTTTGCAATTATAAAAATTTTATTAAAAAAAAATATAATTGTAAATAGATTATTTGTATGTATTTTAGAACCTACCATTTCATTCATGACTGTTAAGATTAGCTTTTAATTTTGGTTTATTAATTGTACAAGTCTACATACTTATCTGCTATTTTATTTAAGCAGTTTTTGCACTTAGCCCTTAGTATTTCTTTTTTTATTTATCCTTACTAGTTGCGTGTAAGAGATCGCTTCTTAGAGATAAGGCCGCCCGTTGCCACCATA